ACAATTAAACTTTAAGCACAGTGATTACTAAAATCTACAATGATTACTAACCAACATGCATGTTGTCAGAAGAAATGAATGAATTAAAGGCGTATAATAGGAGTGTACAATAGCAAATTAAGTAAAGCTAGATAAAAGCAAGTCCACCCAACATTGTTCACCCTGTTGCCCACCCACTTTAACAATGGTATATTCCAATTGGGTGGTTTATGTCCTGGGTGGTTTATGTCCTGGGTGGTTTATGTCCTGGATGGTTTATGTCCTACATTCTCACGCTTGGGCCTATGTCTTCTATTATGCCTATGTATAACTTGTACTGATGCATATTTACATGTTTAGAAGTATTAATTTTGAGTGATCCCAGGAAAGAATTTGTATTAGCTCAAGAGTAAGCTTTAAAATTTTAACACTGTGTACAAAGGGGGGGGGGGAAGCCGCGGCTCCCACGGCTCCCCCCCCCCACCCACTGGATACGTCCCTGATCCTTAAAGCACCTAGAAACATCCTTCTTTGGGTCTACTAGGTGACCTTGGATGGGAAACAATTGAAAATATTCAGAATGAAAGAAAATTTAAATATGTTGATAGACTCATTAACTTGGAGGCACATCGCTGGCCTAAATTACTACTTAATGCCTTATTTACCTTATACAATATACGGTAGTAATTCTAACCTTAAATGGAGATGACTAAAATCTATTAATAACCTTCTTAATAATAGTGGATTTGACCATGTCTTTTCAAGTGATATTCCCCCTGATACAGCATGGTTTAAGTCATTTAAATATACTTTCCAACAAATGAATGTAGTTGATTGGCCTAATAAAACCAGCGAAAAATCATCCCTCTCTGATTATATTAAATTTAAAAGGATTCCTAAAATGGAAAGTTACCTCCTAACTAAAACTGATTTTTATAGTGCTCAACTTAAGTTTAAGACACGCTCTAACTCACTACAACTTGAAATAAAAGCTAGTAAGTGGGATAATAATAATCCTGGTACATGCTTACTGTGTAACAATGGTATTGAAGACTTGCGACATTTTCTGTTTATTTGTAATAAGCTTGAAGAAGTTCGGTTATCTGAGCACGAAATTTTAGTGAATAAACTTTATGACTCAGGCTTATCTGAGTTATGTAATCAGATCCTTACAAAGGATACTGATGCATTTCTTATTCTTATAATATAAGAATAATAATATTATTAGGCAGAGACTGCACAGAGTTTATTCCTAATCTACCCAATCACTTAATTGACTTGGCTCATTTGATTTTTGATGATTTTGTAAATCTTATATTAAGAAGGCATTGGCAAAAAAGAATTGAGATTAAAAATGGTGCTATGTTATGATTATTATTATTATTATTATTATTATTATTGATATTATTATTATTATTATTTTTATGTGATTTAATTTGTGTGTGTGTGTGTGTGTGTACAGTACTTCCTTTTATTGATATGCATCTCACTATGTATTTTATTCTGTTAATTTTGAAGCACCATTATTGTGATGAGTGCCTTAATGGTTTGGTTAGACTTTTTACTTCATGTTTACCTTATACAATAGTAATTCTAACCTTAAATGGAGATGGCTAAAATCTATTAATAACCTTCTTAATAATAGTGGATTTGACCATGTCTTTTCAAGTGATATTCCCCCTGATATAGCATGGTTTAAGTCATTTAAATATACTTTCCAACAAATGAATTTAGTTGATTGGCTTAATAAAACCAGCGAAAAATCATCCCTCTCTGATTATATTAAATTTAAAAGGATTCCTAAAATGGAAAGTTACCTCCTAACTAAAACTGATTTTTATAGTGCTCAACTTAAGTTTAAGACACGCTCTAACTCACTACAACTTGAAATAAAAGCTAGTAAGTGGGATAATAATAATCCTGGTACATGCTTACTGTGTAACAATGGTATTGAAGACTTGCGACATTTTCTATAAGAATAATAATATTATTAGGCAGAGACTGCACATAGTTTATTCCTAATCTACCCAATCACTTAATTGACTTGGCTCATTTGATTTTTGATGATTTTGTAAATCTTATATTAAGAAGGCATTGGCAAAAAAGAATTGAGATTAAAAATGGTGCTATGTTATGATTTTTATTATTATTATTATTATTGATATTATTATTATTATTATTATTATTATTATTATTATTATTATTATTATTATTATTATTATTATTATTATTATTATTATTATTATTATTATGTGATTTAATTTTTTTTTGTGTACAGTACTTCCTTTTTATTGATTTACATCTCACTATGTATTTTATTCTGTTAATTTTGAAGCACCATTATTGTGATGAGTGCCTTAATGGTTTGGTTAGACTTTTTACTTCATGCTTTTTTTATTGTATATTCCTTTGTTTGGTTTTGCGACTTTCTTTGTACATTTCATTTTGTTACTTTGGATGCACCATTATTGTAATGGGTGCCGCTGTTTTAAAAGCGTTTTTCGGAAATAAATTATTAAATTATTATTATTATGATCGCGACGTGCTTTTCTACACCGCTGTATCGCGGTGTGTTTCCGACGACCAGCAGCCTAGGAACGTAATAAAAACGGTAATTTTCTTAAAATTGCAGAAGATATTTTGGTCGAACTTTCTATATTTGATTCAAGACATATTACTTAACTATTGTAGGCCTAAATTTTTTATAATGAAAAAATCGGAACGGAATTCGTTTTCTAGACGTCTTTTGAGCTTCACCCCATGGCCTATATATATTGCAATCAATCATTGTAAAACTGTGAAAAAACTGTAATTATTTAGAGGGCGCTTGGCATGATCTATGATTTCTGTTTTCGATACCTGGATGGATTTTGCGAACAAACGAGGAGTGAGTAACAGCGGTCTGGTACACTGTCTGTATAGCATGTTCTTTGGCTAGTTCATAAAAAGATGGAATTGCATATTTTAACGATAGTGTTGATTTTAGAGATTATTCTATTGTATGCATCGTCATTAACTGGATTATCAATTGCAGTTTTCGTTGGGAAAACAAAGGTGAGTCGATGCATGCACCACACACAGGTCTTTCATTAATTTGTTGATCTCCGCGATGTCTTGACAGGCTGAGGCTGCCGGGGAATGGATGATGGATTCACATCATTCGGGATGGCAGGACACTGCAAGTTACTGTAGTATGCCCCTGGCTTAGTCCTACTCTTCCACCAGATTATACTCTTCCTATCCTAAGATGCCAAAGACATTTGAAAAAAATCACATAAGCCTAGGCCTACTTAATGTATTACTTACTTCTACCTACTAGCTCTCACTGAATTGAAATTTGACGGTCTAGCCAGTGCTGCTAATGCAGCAGTGGTGTCATTTGACTGAACTTTTATTTTAATTCCATTCTGAGAATTTATCATTTCTTTTTTTTATTCTTTTGAATAAGATTTGGCACTTTAGAGTGTATAATTTTGAATTTATCGTAGTCGAAACTGATTGAGAATATATTGTTCACAAAAACCATTGCCTACTGTACTGAAGATTTTAAATATATATTGTTTTTTTTTTTTTTTTTTTTTTTTGGTTTTTTTTTTTTTTTTTGATTGGTATTTTACCTGCAGCAGTTAGGGAACAAAAATTCTGAAAATAATTTTTCTTTTTTTTATTCCATGTGTTACAGAAGACAGTGTTTAGGACATGGATTAAATTTGAAACATTATTTTTCTTCGCTTTTTTCTTAGTATAGAATTGTTTGTATAATTTGTATTTTAATAATTTCTCCTCCAAAGACTAACCACAGTAATTTTGCTGAATGAAAATCTATTGCATTGTTGCACCCTCCTATTATTGGGATGAAAAATATACAATAATAATCTTATTAAGGAAACATCTAACCTAAAATAATGTAATAACATTTGATTGTATTTTAGTAAATTGTGTTAGCTGTAGTAAATACAGTAATTGTTTGTAATTTTTAATAGTATTTTATATATAGTATATAATAGTTTTAATAGTAATTGTTAATAGTATTTTATATATATATATATATATATATATATATATATACATACATATATAGTATATATACAGTATATATACAGTGATAATAAATAGAAAGGAAAAAAATATCCTGTGCTAAAGTACAGTAGTACATAGATAAAGTGGATTTTAGCTTTAGAGACAGGATGTTTCCGATTCTTTTAAATCTCTTCTGAACACATTGCTTCTGGGGCTACCTATTGGTTATGAAGGATATCCTCAATTACTTTTGACCTTTGCCTTACTTTTGTTAAATACTTTTCTCAGCCTACTATAGTACATTACTCAGGAATTAAGATGGATCCAAAAATTAAACAAAAACACAACAATTTCTGTGTACAAAGATAACAGAGTTGCCAAGTTGTATTATCTAATTTGGAACATTTTACCAGGTATTAGGCCAATATTAATAATAAAAGTACCTTTAATAATGGATTTACTTTCTAATTTAGTAGAGCGATGATCGCTGAAATACTGTATAACATTGCAAGCAGTCTGATGATAATTACCAGAGTTTGCATAAGGCCTATAAAAAGCTTGAGTTCATAAACATTTGAAACCTACAAAAAAATAAATTGTCTACCTTTTGTTCGGTGGATCACCCTACTACTAGAGATAAACAGAAAAATAGTCAATAGTCCAACAATACAGTAAAGTAGAAATAAACAATCATTAATTGCCAAGATTACAATTATTTCATTCTACTATTGTGTATTTAAAAACATGCCATTTCACAGTTTTGTGAAAAAAAAAAAATTTGTTTACCACGTCTTGGGAAAATAAAAAAATGGGTAGGTCAGAAAACTTAAAAAATACAAAAAACAATCAAACATGTGCTTACCCCTAAAATGTAGAAATTACACAAATAATACAACAATTTTTGATTCGCATCACGTACCATCCAGCAAATTAGGCTGGCCTTGGCCCCCAGCCTCACCAAGGCTATTCCAGACTTTGTGTCTGTTTGATTGTGTTTGTTGTCAACAAAAAAAATGCCTATCCTTAGGGCACATAGCAAAAATTGTTAGATTATCACTTAAAATATACATGGAAATTCCGGTGTGCATGAACGAGACGAAAATGACATCGTTTTTCGAGGTGGCAGATAAATTTAAACAACTGCCCTGCGATTCAATGGCTTACCCAAAACTGTATTCCAGTGAAAATGTCAGACATTAGAAACACCCTAATTATTTAGTAAGCATGGCGCCTATAGGCTTTGGTCTTTACCTTGAGCTAGGCCGGCCTTTGCCTAAACTTTCTTATTTTTCTTATTTTCTAATCCAAATTTTTCCTAAAATTCTTTAAAAAATTCCATTTCTCTAATCTTATGAAGTACAGTATTGTACTACAGCATCAAGGATCCCACTGTACTGTAGTCGCTTGGAAGATTTCTTCAGAACATACAAGGACATGGGGCCTACTGTATGCTTACCATGAAAGTCTGCAGACTGAGCCACTGGGGGTTTCTGGTGAGGAATTTGGTAATGCACTAAATGTTTTTTTTGTTTTTTCCTGGAGAGGGTATGCATGCTGTAAACTAATAAATTACTAGGCCAAAACCTGGGACACACTGCATTAGTCCCCTGTCTGCTGATGCAATCTTTTGAAGGCTGCAAAATGCCAAGGTCAAGGTTGCTCAATATCTATGGCTACGGTCACACTAGAGTTTCAAGCCTGGCTTGACTCACCGCGGGTGAGATTTTCGTAATGTGACCGCATCTGCACCGACTCATGCCTGGCGTGACCTTGATCTCAATCTACCTATCTCGATCCCGGTTCAGCACCCATATTGACCCTGGCATGACCGAGATTGACATTTCCTCGTCGGCTGTCGACCAATCACAGTCGATGACGC